AAGTCTACTTCTTCTGGATTCCAGCATATAGTGCAGACCAGCCTCACGGACTGGATTCTTGGGAGCCATTATTGAAACAACTGGACTATAACTTACAAGCCACTCTAATAAATACACACAGACACACACACACACACCACACACACACACACACACACACACACACACACACACACACACACACTATCAGTTCTGTTCCTCTAGAGAATCCTGACTACTACAGGAAGCATCTACCCAAACACCTTTAGGGTTAGTTGTCCTTCCCCACATTCCCTCCTTTATCCTGTCCTCTCTTTCTCTTCCCTACTTAGTCCCCCTATTCTAGTCTCCCCCTTTATCTTTTTATAATACCATCCTCTATTTCCCTTTCCTTGGAAGATCTCCAGACCCGCTCTGGTCCCTTACAAGGTACATAACCTCTGTGTGGTTAGTAAAACTGAAACACACTTAAGCTTAAAAGATAGCATCCACTGTACATATCCATATGCATATCCATACATAAGCAGCAGTGTAGTAGGGATACTTCTGATATTGACAAGCAGTGAGGTCACAGAGGAGCAGGAGGTGATGGACTGAGATTATGTATGGTATGGACACCTGATCAGAGCTGTGTTTTTACGTAGCTAAAGGTAAAAAGGCAAGTATTTGGGTGTACGACTAATAGCTTATAGAAGACAAGCAAGGAGATAATCAAGTACAAAAAAAATGTTTGGAGAGAAGTCAACCACAGGGGAGAAAGGATTAGTGAGCACTGTGGGAAACTTGGACTGAGGATGAATGGTCAGCCTATGGAAGAACATTCCCTCTCCCCACACCAGTACTTTACACCACATTTAAAGGGGTATTATTACTCAAGATTTTCTAGAGAAAATGAACTGACAGAGTGAATACATGGCTATATATGGAGGGAGGGTGGCATGATGCTCCACTCCCTAGCTGAGGACCGACTGACATTTGATTGCTGCTGAGAAAGGGAGGCTTAATGGTGTGACGACCTGGTATCTTGACCACATTCCAGGGCAGGCCCCAAGCCCACACAAACTAGACTTAATTGTTGGGGCAGAAGTATGTGTGTGTGAAACTGCATGGATGGGGGCTGTGAGGGAGGACCTAGGACCAGTTGGGGGTTGGAGGATGAATAAGATCAAAATACATTGTATGATACTGTCAAAAAAGAAAAACATTTTTAAAAAAAGACTGGTAAAGGTCTTAATATTCAATTCTTTGAGAGTACTGGCAGACTTTAAAAAAAAAAACCTTTCAAAGAAACAAAAATTATGGGCTGGTGAGATGGCTCAGTGGTTAAGAGCACTGACTGTTCTTCCAGAGGTCATGAGTTCAAATCCCAGCAACCACATGGTGGCTTGCAACCATCTGTAATGATATCTGATGTCCTCTTGTGAGGTGTCTGAAGATAGCTACAGTATACTTATACATAATAAATAAATAAAAATTTAAAAAAATAGAAACAAAAATTAAGTTGGCAACAGCACAGCAAACCTATTAAACACTATAGGTAATAATAATTATATAAATATAATTTATTATTTAATAAATTACATTATATTAAATTAATTATTTAATATATTACAGCAAACCTATTAACACTATAGGTAATAATAATTATATATAAATAAAATTATACATAAATATAATTATAGTTATTGGGGTCCAGAAACAATCTTCATGAAATAACATGGAAAACAAATATAAAATATAACATCTCAACAACATCTTAAAAGATGATTAGAGCTTTGAGGCCCAAGATGGCGAAAGGGATCCTGGGATATTTGAAAATAGTGAAAGGGCAGATGAAAGCAGTCCTCACGACCTGCAGCCTCTTGCGCTTGCTACTTGACTACAAGGAATGGGATGCTATCCTCTCCTCCCTCCCACAACCAAATGATGGCTCTGTCTTTCCCTTCTGCTTCAGAGCTGCCCCAACCCCTCCTGTTGATCAAGTCTCCCAAGCACCCCCACTTCTCCTGCTGCTTGTCTCCCGTCTACTCTTGGTCCTGTGGTCAAAGGGTGTTTGCTCTTCATCTCTGACCCAGTGTGCAGTGATACTGAGATTGGTTCAGTAAAATATGGATTTACTTTCTGGCTTCATCCTTCCGTGTTTTAGAATTTAATTACTATTTCTTAAAAATGCATTGTGATATACAAGGAACAGAGGATGCGTAGTCTCAGAAACAGGATTTCTTGTGTCTAAGAGAGTGAACTATTGAAATGACAGGATTGCTGGGCAGTGGTGGCGCACGCCTTTAATCCCAGCACTTGAGAGGCAGAAGCAGGTGGATTTCTGAGTTCAAGGCCAGCCTGGTCTACAGAGTGAGTTCCAGGACAGCCAGGGCTACACAGAGAAACCCTGTCTCAAAAAACAAAACAAAACAAACAAACAAACAAACAAAAAGAAATGACAGGATTCTAAGTATTTTTTTAAGCAAGGAATCTATTATAGTGATGAGAAGCTAGAACCTTAAACAGGCTGGTCTCTCAATGGCTCTTTCCTTCCTATATGACAATTGTGTAAGGCTTCAGAGGAGGATGAGCAATTAATTACCTCCATGAGACAAAGGAGGCACTTATAAGGAAGTTCTTGGACAAGCCAGCACCCTCAGTCCTTTAAAGCAGCGGTTCTCAGCCTTCCTAATGCTGCAACCCTTTAATACAGTTCCTCATGTTGTGGTGACACCCAGCCATAAAACTATTTTCACTGCTACTTTATAAATGTAATTTTGCTATGGCTGTGAATTGTAATGTAAATATCTGTGGTTTCTGATGGTCTCAGGCAAACCCAAATGGTCATCTGACCCCTACAGGGATTGCGACCCACAGGCTGAGAACCACTGCTTTAGAGACAAGTAGTTTGGCATCTTGACCTATAGTAAATAACCAGAGAAGCACAAAGCCCCTGCCCCTGGTGCCTGTTAGTTCTGTTTACTAAGAGGACTAATGAGTCAATGGTTTCCTCATCTCCATAAAATAAATAGCTGCAACTATCCAGAACTTGCCTCTAGAGTCACGTTTGTCCATGTCAACTAACTATCTATATTGATTTCAAAGTGCAAAGTACCACTCATAAGAAACTGAGATCCAAGGCTTTCCGGGGCAGTGAACGTCCCATACACAATCCTATGACCCAGTGGGCAACACATGTGTCTCAGCCCATCTTTTCTTTTTCTTTGCAATGAGCCCTTCCACGACACTAAGCAGTCCAATTGTTTCTTTTCTCTTTTAAAAATAACTGACATTGGAGAGATGGCTCTACACTCAACAGTACTTGATGTGCCAGTTGATAGCCCAAGATCAGTTCCCAGCATGTACATGGCAGTTCACAACCTCCTATAAGGAATCTGATGCTCTCTTCTGGCATCTTCAGGCATCAGGCACACATATGATGCACATATATACATGTTTACTCATACATATAAGATAAAAATAACATTTTAAAATTAGTAATAAATTATTCTATACATATTCCTCCTTTAAAATATGGCTCTCCTTAAAGTGAACAAGAATCAGTATATAATTTCTGCTTTTCTAAGGAGCAGTGTACAGAACTACCAAATGAAATCTGAAAATCCTATCAAGTATTAGAAGCATTAGAAATCCCATAAATGTTGTTGACAAGCTTATTTATGTTTAGAAATATTATTAATATTTCCTTTAAGGCCATTTAACAACTACTTCAAGAATAGAAAGTATTCAAACACATCTCTAACATTCTTAAGGGCTGAGGTAAGACTACAGGCAGAGGCTTATATTCTATTATGTATAAATTTTAAGTTAAGCTATTAAGTAAAATATGATCTTATATTCTGATATTGACAAATTCACTTTTAACTATCTGGAAAGACAAGTTCTTCGATTCTCTGATATTCCATGCCATGGTGTGGTGGCATAAAGAGTTCTCTTCCTATCCCCAGCTCTGTCAACATCCCTGCTCACCTTCCTCTCCATCGCTTCTAGATTCTCCTCTCCCTCCTCATCGCCTTCTCTAGCCTGGTACCCATGGCGGGCTTGATCACAGCATCTTCCAGGCCTTGCCTGGAGCTCTGCCCCCTTTCCAGCATCTGCAGTTACAAGGCTCACAGCCTTTCAGTTCACAAGTGCCAGAACAGAGTTTCTCTTGCCCAGGACTAAAGGCAACACTAGATATTTGGTTTTATTGTTTTTGCTTTTCACGACATGGTTTCTCTATGTAACCCTAGCTGTTGTATAATATGCTCTGTAGACCAGGCTGGTCTCAAACTCAGAGATCCACCTGCCTCTGCCTCTCAAGTTCTGAAATTAAATGTGTGGGCCAACACAGGCAACTAGGATAATTTTACTGAATGGAGAAACTGCCAGATCACACTTGTTAATAGTCAATATTCTAGTTAAAAGTCAGTAAGTAAGAAGACAAAGAAGACAGATAAAACCTAAATTTCTAACCCCTAAGCACTTCAGTTCTCTCAAGATCTACAATCAATGAATGTAATATTTATCTGGATTTAGACCTAAACTCTTGATCTGTACTTTCTCCTTCAAGTTTACAGCATTCTACTCATGTTAGAAAGTTCAGATGACAAGAGCGAGCCAAGAGAACATAGAGTATCCAAACACAAGATCCGGCATACAGATGGAAGAGAAAGCATCTCCCTTATGTGTCTGTTGCTAACACTCAGATGACACATCTGATCTAAGTTCAATATCACAGTACAGCAAGTTTGGAATATCAGCTCCCTCTCACTAATGCAAATGCACACAGCGACTGTGTCTGCCTGCTAACACCCATAGCAAGCAACCACTAAAGTGGCAGGGCACACTGAGCCACAGCACATAAGTAAAGATAGCTCCCTGCACAGAACTCTCCCTCACCGTAAGTTCCTGTGCTCCATGCATTCTTAGCCAGGAAATGACTGTTACTTGAGAAACTATTAGACAACTTGTTATCACAGTACATAACACTAGGAAGGCAAGTATTTCAACTGGAAATCTTACTTATTTGTACTTACTGAGATTGTACCATTGTCTAGACCTATGGACAGTCTTCTTGTTTCCGGGTTAAAAGACATGCATGAACATGGAGCTGAAAGAAATGAACATGTTGATGACATTAACAAACAATGATTCTCATTGATTCAGGAGTGTCTAATGAGTTAAGTGTGTGGCTAAATTCACCCCACTGTCTCCTCAAGCAGTTCAGTTAAACCATACTCGCCAACAAAGTAAAAAGAGTAGTTTTACAACCAAGCCCCTAGTTTTTAAGTTGCCCTTTTAATGAACATACAAGTAAGACATTCTCAAATGTGGCAAGAAGAAAGGCTGTGGTCTTGGTTTGTGATGGCAATTCAGGATGTAAATTTGCTTGTGTACAAGACTGACTCTCCTTTGATCACTATTCTCTTGATCCCACTGGAACCACAGTTTAAACGAGAGCAGGCACTGCTTTCTGAGCTGGAGAGAAACTAGATTTTACTCTCTGATACTAACATTTAAATACACCCACCAGTGCAGAAAATCATATTCGTTCTGAACTTATATGGGGCAATTGAGCTGGCAGGGGGCTTTTACTCTGAGTGTTTATCAGGTATACTGGAGGTTCCTAATTGAAAATAACTGTAGCATCATTTTCTTTGTACGAAGCTAAAAGAGATCTAAGTTTAAATCCAAATAAAGCATACAGGTCTGTGGTGGTAAGTATACAGTGGTTTGATTTGTGAGTGAAGTTGTGGGTTTAATTAGCAAAGCTGCACCATGCTGAAGTAGGGAGAAGCCTTTACTCAGCATCACTAATTCAGACAGAACCAAGAACAATGTGAGGGTGTGGACAGAGCTAAGCGTGAGCCCAGGAAGCTACCAGAAGCCAGAGAATAGCAAGCCCAGACTCCCTCACAGCCTTCAGATGAGCTAAAGTTCGGCAGAAGCCTTGAGGTCTCGGCCTGCAGAACTGTGAGGTAATGCAGACGGTCCAGCTGTTGAACAGACTCACCTTGCAGGACTTTGTTATGGTGGCCCCAGATACTAACATGAGCATTATTTCACTATGTGGCAGTAGTAAGAATAAAACACATTCTAAAAGTCTCAGTCTCTTCACATTGTCCACTTGTGGGTCTCTGAATTAATTGCCATCTACTGCAACAAGAAACTTCTCAGGTGGAGGTTGAGAGGTGCACTCATCTATGGCTACTACGATGTAACATTACTGCTATGTTCCTTTAGCAGAATGATAATATCATGTTTTTCCCACTTCCTTATAAAAAAACAAACCTGCCAGATTCATCAATGTATTTCAACTTGTGGGGGGGGCGGGGGGAGAGTTACATGAGTCTGGAGGTGGATGTTCTCGTGAATACACATCCAGAGGCCACCCAGAATGTCCAATTAAAATGTCCAACTGTCATCCTCTACTACTCTCTGCATCATTTCCTTGACAAAGGTCTCTCATTAAGCTGGAACTCTGCAGCTGAACAGCCATTTTGACAGTTTCTTTACTGCCCCCCCACCCCATACAGAGAGAAAAGAGAGTGCACACAGCTCTAACAGCATGTCAAACTACCTTAAAGGATGAAAGTAAGAAACAAATAACGATCAGCAGGAGTGACTGCACCTGGACGAGGACTGCTTGGACATGTGCACATCCATGGTCCTCTAGCAAACTATTCAAATACACCCACCAGTACAGAAAAGCTATTAAACTATTCTATTAAACTCTGAGCTCATCTCAGGACCCTAAAGATGGAGTCCCGGGCTTTGCTGGATCTCTTTGTTCCCCATTTCTCAATGTGACTACATACATCTTTTTTTTTTTTTTCTCTTCCCACTTGTGACATTTTTAATTGGCTTGTTGAGGAAAGATGGCCAGGCATGACTTGGCATAGGTGGTAACATCCAAGTTAACTCCTAGAATTCAGGCTGGGGCACAATCAACTCTCCCCTCTGCAGCCGTTTACAGAGCGACAGAGGGAACCTTAAGTCTATATGCACCTGCTGACCCTTTGTGTTAATAAGCCTCTTCTCCTCTGGAAAGATATATCAATAAGTTTTCTACCTTTCTTTTGCTAAACTACGTGAACCTACTTTCATTCAGTTGTGTCACAGAGGCTTATGAGCATTGTTCTTGGATGTTTTTCTGTTGTTTTTCTGTTATTTGTATCAAAGAGATTTAACAAACAATGGCCACTTAACTTTCCATTTTCTACAATTCATGTTTGTTGTGGACTTAAATTATTATTAGGCTTTGGCATGTCCAAATTGAGTGCATATACACATTCAGGTTTAAATATTATGATCATATATATAGTAAGGTCTGATAAATACATATTACTTTATAAATGTGGTTACCCTAAACATCTTAAAACCTATTACATAATACCTTTAGGTATAAATGTTTTTAAAATCTTAAGGGCTGGAGAGATAGCTCAGTGCTTAAGAACACTGACTGTTCTTCCAGAGGTCCTGAGTGGAATTCCCAGCAACCACATGGTGGTTCATAACCATCTATAATGAGATATGGTGCCCTCTTCTGGCATGCAGACAGAACATTGTATACATAATAAATAAATCTTAAAAAAATCTTAATATACTAGTTGTTTACATAAAACAATATTATTTATAAGATTTCATTAAGCTATAAAAGTGAATATTATATATATAAATTGTAATAAGGATATCCTTCCAAAACAGATTCTAAAAATGTACTTATATAAAACTTTATCTTGTTATATAGTGGGTAACAAAATTCGAATGATTTGTTCAAAATATTCTTACTATATAAAAAATGTTTAATGTAAGACTCTTTTTGTGTTTTTCACTATGTGGTTTCCTAACCCCTAGCTCCTTCCAGATCCTCCCCACTTTATCTATGAAAACTAAAGTTCAAAATTAGAGCCTTTTTCAAAGGACAAAAAAAAATCCCACATGATTTTATCAACTAAAGGAAACAACCATCACCTCAATGATTCTTTTCTGACTTAAAAGCTCATGACAGCATCCAGGAACTTTAGCTCACTCCTGGGAGGCAGGGACTTTCTCACATCATCTGAGAGCACATTCCTGTGGACCTGGAAAATTCTGAATGTACTCATCTTCAACAACACTGACAATGGAACACCCTGAGAAGTTAAACATTCATCTGTTCATGTTTCTTAAAAATTCTGTGATTAGATTTTTAAAATTATGATATCTAGCATACTAGTATACTTTAAATGATAAAATCATACTAATATTAGTTTTAATGAAGTCCCAAATGAAGATATTATGTACTTTCACTTCATCATGCCTTTGTGATATGCCTATTTACTTATAATACGCCCCACATTATTCAAAACTAATGTTTGAATAAAGAGTCATCTTTCATTGTCTACACACACACACACCCAGACACACACACAGACACACAGACACACAGACACACACACAGACACACACACACAGACAGACACACACACACAGACACACACACACAGACACACACACACACAGACACACACACAGACACACACACACAGACACACACACACAGACACACACACACAGAGACACACACACACATTCTTATTATTCAGTGTAGTTTGGCTAAAGCAAAACAAAAGTTTCTAATTTAAACTTTAATTCCATTTATCTAACTAGGAATACGCAAAGATTTGGGCTGACTCTCCTTAAGTAAATTATAAAGGACATCTATCTCTAGTAACCACACCATCCATGACAGCTTATGCCTTAAGTATGATGTTTCTTTGCCTAATTAGTATCTGAAATGTCCCACAGCATAATCAGCTAGCATTAAAAAATTAAGCAACATCTATCTTTTTACAAATCTAAAAATGAGGAGAGCAATATTACAGTGACCCCTTATCTTGGGCTAGTTCTAGCCCCTGGGTTAGCCTTTCCTTGCTCATATCTGTGTCAGAACTAATATCCCATGACTAAGAGATAAAAACCTTGTGGACCAGCAGCTCCCTTCAACCCATGAGCTAAAAATGTCATCAGATATCGCACTGGGCCTACGGGCCTACAGAAAAGCTTCCCATCTCACTGGACCTGCATCTCTGACGTACCCACCAACCTATTTCAAACTTGGCTTGATTTGTGATTTTGTTCTGTAAAATGATAAAACTTCATGAAACCGCTTCCACAAGAGAAGACAAAATTGGGGGTAGCCTTCTGGGGCCATAGTCACTCAAATTGACCACAGTAAACTGTTTCTTATTCCCTTAAAAAATAGCTAGAGAATTTCACACTGATATACATGTAAGTATAAGCTGGGCACAGTGAATGAAGGCATTTACAAAGAAAGGTTACAAGTGTACAACTCAGAACTCAGGTGAAGGCTCATGCCACCCACCACAATCAACCTCTTTCTCAAGTAGGCCTTGATTAGATCTGGGAAACAGGTGATTCAAAATCAGGATTTCTATAAGCACTCAGGTTCCTATACTTTGTCAGCTGAGCAGAGGGTGATAAAGTGGCTGTACCAGTGTAAAATCTGAGTGCAGTGCTCTAACACAAATTCACACTCAAGAGCCAGAGCAAGCACTGGACAAACGGCAAAACTACTTATTTCGGTGGCTTGTGTGATGGGCCTGCCTTATATTTGTTGGTTTTTTTTTTTTTTGAGGGTGGGGTGGGGTAGTGGGGCTTCTGTTTTGTTCTGAGGATAAATTCATAAATACCAGAGGTAACTTAAATCCCTAGCCTGGCCTGAAAAAGAGACCCCACACAGCCTCCAGACCTCCAACTGCCCTGCATGAGGCCTTCACCTTCCTGATCTCTAGTCACTGTATATCTGGAAGTCAAGGTAGTTTACCTGTCCCCTATTCCCAAAGGAGAAGTTGGCACCTAGGGCCAACTGTGAACCCAATCCTCTCGAGCGAGTCTCCACCACCCGCCACTGTGGCTGACACATCAGATTCCTCCCTGCCTGTCTTTAGTCTTAAGGCCATGAATGAAAAAGTTAATTGGTAGAGTACGCCTAAAATATCTCAACCATGGATACCCAGAACTTTCATGTGCTATTTGTCTGTAGTATAATGGGAATGTGGTGGTTGAAATAGTAACCCCATTAGAAGCCTAGAACACATGTACGGC